TATTCTTCAGCTTCATCTTTTGAAATTTGAGGTAATTCTGATATTTTTAGAGTTCAAATTAAATTGCATTTGAAAATTCTTCTTGTTATTTTAGATTCATTAGTATATTTTTTTAATAAATTTATATAATATTAAAAAGTTTTTCTTATCTTTTTCAAAGATCATATTAAATAATTAGAGTTTGATTTTTCTTTTTTATAATTTATCATTGGTCAAAGCTTCACAACTTGCATTTGTGATTATGTGGAGATGATTCATCTTGACATTAAAAACCGTCTGATTCTTTCCCTGTCTTAAAATCTAAACACATTCATTCAATCTCTATTGTCATTCACAAAACAGCATCTTTTACCTGCATGGAGGTAATCTCATCAAGATAATGTCTATCAAAGACATCTCCACCAATGTAAACTCATTACTACATAACTTGGCCTCTATAGTCTATAACCTAGGACTAAAGAACCTCCTATCGAATTATTTACCTTCCTATGACTTAAGTTTGAAGTCGAGTTTGATCTTTTTTCAATTAGTATTAGATGAATATTCTAGTAAAGGATTGTTTTTACTCACTTACTATTTAATCTGTTAGTAAAAGTGATCTTCTAATTCAAAGTCTAGAGTGGATCCAAGAGAAGAAATATAAGATACAATTCTTTATTATAATCTAAAAGTTGGAAATTTCTTACCTAATAATCAAATCGGTCCACTTTAAAAATTTTAGGTTGCATTCAGGGGAATAATCCATACTCATGAGCAATAACCTTCCTTTTTGAGAATATTAGGATTTTAATTAAAAGATGTATTATCTTCAAATTTTCTTAATTCTTTAAAATGATGATCAATCAAGATTCTATTGTATAATAATTGATGTGAGGGTCTTATATTTTTCAATATATGCTTCAAGATTAGTTTGATTTCACAACAGTAAAGCTGGCAGAGGCACCAGTAGTATGAGTCCTTAGCCATATTAAAAAGTATCTCGTGTCGATATTATTTCTTATGATCTTCCTAAAAATATTTAAAAAATGTCCATGTTAAGGAGTCCAAAAGCAGCTCTTACTTTAGCCACTTGGTTAGAAATGAGTAGCACATCCTTCATATATCGCTTTCTAATTCCTCTGAATATTATCTGTTCGTCTTGAACCTTGACTATATTATCGTTTTTATTTTTTTTGGTGTCATCTGAAAAGATTTTAAAAGCTTAAAATACAAGTTTCTTATATATTTCAATTATTTCTTTTGTGTTATTATTTTTTAAGGAATTATTATTCTTCTCTACTCTATATATATGCTTGATCAGATAAATTTTTCCATTTTGAGGTTTAAAAAAATGTCAACTTTTATATAATCGGTTTATGATTCCCCAGTTTCTATCCAATAAAAACTTGCGTTTAAAAGTGATCATATTTTAATTCTTTTAATTAAATAAGAAATATGATTATAATTACATAGTATTAATAATTAATTTTCTTTTCGATCTATTATTATTCTGATTAATAGATTATTCAATTATGCCTAAAAATTTTTTAAAGTAGCATTATTGTTAAAATAGACATTTATTACTACTATTCTAATATTTTATTTGTTATTCTTATTTTTAATAGGTCATAATCATAGTTATTAACATAATAATTTGTAATATCTATCGAATTAAAAACTTTATAAATCCCAATTATAATATCTCCAATGTGGCTTGATCAAATTTATTTATGATTATATTTGAAATTTAGTTGCATCATTTATTTTCTGTTTCTTACTTCTGCTCATATTATATGAGGAATTTGTTTTTCAATTGCATTAAGAGAATAATTTTTTGAGCTTATATTTCATAATATCAGTTTATTTGTGTTGTTCGTGGAGAGTGTAAATTATTATTTTTCTGAATTTCATCAGAACCCTCCATAATTTTGTTCGAAGTTCGAAATTAGTTGAAAAATTAATTTTTGAATTTATTTTAATTGTTCTTAAAGATTCCTTATTAAAGATATTATTAATAATTAATTTCGCAATTATGAATATAATTACCATGAACATCTAATATATTTCATTTAGTTTTCATTCTAAAATTATTTCTCATACGATAGTTTTTTATTTGTCTTGGTTATTATAATAATTCTAACAATTTAAGGCCTAATTATATCGCTATTGTCTATAAGCGTAAGTCTGCATAAGTCAGTTTTACTATCGTGAAAATTCAGTTCCCTAATGTTTATCATTTGTTTGATGATTCTATTAGTTACATTAAATTTATTTCCTTTTCTTGAGTTCTGGATAATTATTGTTTCTACTGTAAATAATTTGTTGATGAATAATTCAACAATATTTTATACTTTATCTCGCATTAGATTGCTCAGGAATAATTTATTTTAAGGATTGACCAAACCTGAGACTTATAATTATTCTTCTTCATAGCTCCATTTTTATTCTCTTTCTATATTTATGCAAGATCATTTGCAAATATTTTAAGATCTAATTCAACTTTCTACAACTTAGTTTATTAAATTTAACATTATGGTCTCAATAGCGGTGAGCCCTAATTAAAATAGATTATTATTCATCTTATCTTCTGTTTCATTCATTAATTAGGTATAAAGATAGGATATTCTTCATAGCTATCTTATATTAGTCCAATATTGTTAGACAATCTAATCTCCTTAATCTACTATGATAATTTAAAATAAAACTCAAATAAAAATTTTAATTTTAATTTTTTTATTAGTTTATTTCAAAAGATAAAATTAACTATTTCCAATAAATAATAACCAAATATTTAGATAATTTTAATAATAACAAACTATATTGATAAATTTATTATAGATTTTGATTATTTATGTTAAATTAAGTAATATTTATTATTTTTTGGTGAATTCATATCATTAATTATCTAAGTAATTGTAATAAAATTTTATTAAATATATTTTTTAAATACTTTCATTATCAACACTTACAAAGATAAGGATAAATACTGGTCTAAATAAAAATGAACTTGAAGAAAATATTGTTATAGCTGAAATGTCTTTTGCTATTTGCTTATTTTCTTTTAAAGCGAGATTAGTACCACATCTCAACATATCCTAAGAGATTTAGGATTTTTAAAGTTTATTTGGATGTTTCATCCATTTAAGGAATACAAATCCAAAATTTTTTTAATTACATATGAGTATTCTTCAGTATTTAAGCCAATCCTGGCTGTTGTAAGAAAAAAAGTAATTGCACTGTCAATTTCTATGATGGCACAAAAGGCCAAAGAAACCCTCTAATTTTATGTGGATTGCATCTCTTTGTAGATTTACTTTTTTTCTTTTATGTTCTATTTAAAATAATTTGTTTTTAGAAGTCAAGTACAACCAATAAATATTTTAATATATCATCAATTAAAAATCCCAACTTTATGAGAAGAGTAAAAAGATTTCAACAATATAAGAAAAAATAAGTAAAATATATGATTGATGAATTTTATGTATGCAAATTAATTGCCATAAAGATACCTAAATACATAGATAAGGCCAACTTTTTTAGGAAAAAACTCAAATTTGGTGTTATAGGTTCCTAATTTGTTTTTATAAATTCAAGAAATTAAAGTAGAAATATAATTCTTCATAGGAAAACGTTTCAAAATAATTCAAAAAATCGACAATTATGTTGTATAGTTTAAGTAAGCCAAGACAAATCTAGATATTTAATATTTATAGTAAATTATTTGACAAATTTTTTAGTTATATTTCTTTTCAAATTGTCAATATTCATGAATGAAACTTCTCAAATTTAGATCTATTTGTCAAAAGGTTTTGCAGACAATTTAATAATTCAAGTTTTTTTATTCATATCAACTTTATGAACAGATTCTACATCCTCCTCTTAGATTATGATTAATTCTTCACTATATATTTTGTCAGCATTATTCAGTGATTTACCTCTGTAAGATCTTACAATTGGATAAAATAGAATTTTGAGCCTATTATTCATTTCGTTAGCCTTAATTTTATTATTTATTGATAATCTCAATTCAAATCCTGATTTTCCCATTTTTTTACATCTTTACTATAACTTTTTTCAAAGCTTGAAGTAATATCAACAAAAAATATTTTCATCTTAAGTTTTTTTTGAGTTATTTTAATTATTACCTAACCTCAATTAAACTTGTGATAAATAAGTTAAATAAATTTAAATCTAAATTCTTTTAAGTTAAACTTCACTAGTTTTTCATTAAGTTTAACTATAAATTAAAATTTTGATATTCATTAAAAATAATTATTATAAAAGGACAACTGCAAAAAAATATATATATTTTCTTTGCTTCAATTTCATACTCAAATTGTTTAATTTCAACATAATAGATGAGAAAAGAAGACATTAATAATAAAAGGAAGTTTCTTTAATAAATTTAATATTCTTATAATAAGATTCTAATGACACTTTTAAATTATAACAGATCATCTATTCTAAAAAAAGAGTACATTATTGCCAGAGAACTTCTACAATTTTGTTTTTTAATTTTTCACTAATTAAATATAAAATATTTATATACAATTAGGAGAATCCATAAATTGACTTTTAGTTATATTCTATAAATAAAAATAGAATTTAGCTCAGAAGAATACTTAAACTAAAGGAATTACAAAATTGAGAAATATAGAAAAATTAAACCTGCTTGTCAAATGGTGAAATTTATTGATAAATTAGCTAAAATTTAGTCAAAAATATAATCATATTTTCTTCGTTTCTATAAATAATTTTTTATTAAAGATTTTATAGTTTAGTTTTCAAAGGAGGAAAAGCTAACATTAAATGATAAAATAGCAATTTAAGTAATTCCTCAAAACAACCTATCAAATAAATTATTTTAGTTATTTACCATGAACTTTGTAAATGGTCCAAAATATAATTTATTAAATTAATAGGATTCATCGTTCCCCCACATCATACTATGTATATTAAATTAATTGATAGAAAAATAGAATAACTAATATGTTTTTGCAATAATTTATATATGTAATATTATGCTCTCTAGAAATAATTTTTTATTTATAATTATAGAATTTCTTCATATATTAAATTATTTAAAAATTTTATATATTAACTTGCTATTACTGGAGAGATAAGGTCAAGTCTCAACATAGTAAGATAGTGCTCAAAGAGTGGTTGTTATTGACTTTGTTGGAGTAAGCATAATTAAATGTAATATTGTTATTAGTAATTATATGACGAGAAAGTTATAGTTCTTTTGGTAGTGGAAAGAAAAAGTTTAGAGTATATGAATTTAATAGAAAGGTGATAAGGAAGAAGATTAAGGCGACATAGATCTAAACTTATACTAAATTTGAATAGGGAAAGACCTTATATATATATTATACATGGAGTCAGAAATGATGAATGAGAATTCATATTTTAACATGGTTTATTAATTGAAAGAAGTTTTAATGATTCGTGTTAGTGACATTCTAAAAAAGATTATACGAATTACATTATTAAAGGAGAGAATGACGGCTAGGTTGGGAATCAAACTGAAACTTAGATCGATACAACTACTGAAGATCATATTTGTTATGATCTATTAAGTGATTTACAGTTAATTTCAAAGAAAGTTTTTAACAAACACTGGAATATGAAGAGAAGAACTTCAAGAGAACTAAAACTATAAAATTCGGGTTAAAAATTTGAGAGCAAAGTTAGTATAGCAAATCTATAAATAAAATTTAAAGAAGTTATTTAATTAATCTTTAAAAATTAGAATATGTTATTTAGTATCATGTTTTGAAGGTTTTCTAACCAATTAAAACTCAAACCAGAGCGCAAAAAGCCTCTATAAAATAGAAAAGGGAATAATCAGTAATCATTTAAAAGGATGAAAATCTCTTTATTAAACACATATTCTATTGAAAATAAAAAAAGCTCCAAAATATAGTTGAAGTAAAAATATATTAGGAAAGTAATATAAGTAATCCCAGGATATTTGATTAATTTTTCATTAGAACATATAAACAAAGAATAAATTAAAAGTTCTTTACTTAAATTCTTGTTCTAAAAATCACAATTAGACTTTATTAAAAAATAAATAGTGACAATAATGTTTTTTTATGGAACATAAGAATGATGATTTGATTTTCATTAAAAAAATAAATTATGATAAAAATCTATCAAATTATCATAATAATAATTAGAGTATATTTAAGATATTATGAATTAAAATAAGGATTGCATTAAAAAAATAATTTCCTATGCCTTTCCCATATTTGATACTTTGATGAAAATGAAATTAAAGCATAACTAGTAAAACATATAATTCATTTATAAATTATAACTCATTATTAAAGTAGTGTTATTCTCTGGACATATTAAAAGTAATCATGCAAGTATAGTATTGAATCAAATAAATCTAGTATTTACAAATATAAATATATGTCAAAGATATTTTAGGCTCAAATATTAGATAAAATTTTAAGTATTTGTTAGATGATAGTAATGCCTAGAATTGTGCTTTGAGAGAAATTCATAATCTTAATTCATAAGGAATTCTGGATGATCCACACTTGTTGAATATTTATTTCTCCTAATATAATTAAGGAAAAACTATACTTACAAAATACCATACATCACGACATTGGGTGTCAATTATATCTTCAAATTTATTTGAAATTTAATTTGAAATGTCATATTTTTTTGAAATCAATTAAAATAATTAAAAGTATGAATTAGATAGGATTACTAGATTTGGCTACAAAATTTGCTACATAGTGTAATAAATCAAATTCTTTATATAAAAAGTATTAAGGATAATAATCCATATGAAAATAAAGTTTAGATATCTATAGAAATGGTTGAATTGTCATTGTCCACTAGAATAAAATAAAAGAACTGTTCTTTTAATAATTAAGAAGAATAAGAAAGGTCAAAAACGTTTCTATTCAAACATATCTTCTGAAAATGAGCAAATTGTAAATTAAATCTCACTTTGATTATATAAATGAAGTCAATCCAATAATTCAAGAAAGCAAAAGAAATAGTGATATAGTCTGTAATAAATATACCCCTCAATCAATACTTTAAATTACATTTAAAAATAAATGAATTGATGAAATAAAACAAAAGGAAAGGAATTCTTATATTTGAGAACTCTTAAGAAATTAGGAAAAATAGTCAAGTTTGCAATGATTTATGATTTTTTTTAAAATTATCAAATGATAGCACGTATAAATAAAATTGATTATTTTAGAATATTATAGTTCTATAATACTTAATAATTAAATATTAATAATTTATTTGTTAATATTATATAATATTCAAAGTTTGTATATTTGAATTAATAATACAAAAATATTGACTTAAACTGTTAAATATTAATAACAATTATGAAGAATTTCCAGATAGCTATAATAAGTTAAATTTTATAAATATGATTAATTAAAATAATATATCTCTTTTTGCCATTTTAATATAAATTATTGGGGTGAAGGATTGATTATTCTAAAATTTTTATTTATAATTTACAAATCAATAAATCTGTGTTAAGATTAGGTAGAATTTTGAGTTAACAATTATTTCCAATTAACTATTTTTTTTGATATATTTTATAATTTAAAGTGGAGTACAGAGATTGTCATCCTTAGTTCATTTTATGTAAAAATCACCCTCACATCCTTAAATTTTATTAAAGTAATTATTGTGAAATTTATGAATCGTCACTTGCGCATTTTCTTTTATAATAGCATTTATTTTGGAATAAAATATTAAGAAAAGAGCTCTGATAAGTTTAAGAAAAAAATCTTGAAAAGATTATTTCTCAAACTTTAATCTTCTATTGATTTCCATCTCAAGATAATTCATGATAAAGAAATAAAAAATCTCAGACTTTTCATTTTGTATTTTTTAACATGATCATCTTAATAAATCAACAATTTATAAGTGATAGCACCCATAATTATATTCTGATGAAATCTACATTAATTCATCTTGATGTAACTCGATATTGTTCTTATAATATAAACTGTGCAATCTCTATCAACTTGTCTGCCATTATAATTCAGTTTTAGCCTACAATCATAAGCTTCACATAGTCTATCCTATCTTGTCATATTTAATAGAATTTAATTAGAAAGATTCATTCATATTTACTTTTTCCTAAATCAATCATGTCCCTGATCAATTACATTCCATCTGTATAAATAAATAATCATTTAATAATTAATATTGCCTTAATTCTTAGCTAATTCATTACAATTAAAAAGAATGGAAACTTTTCACATTTGGAAATGTAAACATAAATATTTAAATTTAACTTTTATATTTTATGAAAAATAAATTTGATAAAATAAATAAATCCATTATTGAAAAAAACAAATTTTTCAAGGCCATCAAAGGTCTACATAATATTTTTATTACATTTTCTTATCTCATCAAAATTTCTTGAAATATAACTTGTCTTATTTCATTATTTCACAAAGATAAGGTTAATTTTCATTTGATAATTATTCTAAGGAAATTAGATGATTAATGTCTTTATCAATCAATTTTAATTATATATTATCATTATTTTTTAGATTATAAATATTTATACTTAAATGCAAGCTTCCAGCTTCTTTTATTTATAAATTACCATAATTTTGGAGGGCATAAAATCTTAATATCATCATAGGCTTATATTGTTATCCATATAGGTGGAAGGAATTATTTAATCAATAACTAAAAGTTTTAAATATCTGAAATTTAATATGATATTTGAATAAATTCAATTTGAATAAAGAAGAAGAAAATGAAATTATAGAATTATAAAATTCATTTACTCATCAATCACATATTTAAAAGAAAAGGGAAAAATTCTCAAGTAAATACAATACTAAAATTATAAGAATCTGAGACCATATATTAATAATATTCAATATTTTTAAATAGAAAAAAGACAGTTTAGATTAGGATAAAAACGACCAGAAAAGAAAAATAAAATTACGCTAAAAAGTAAAATAAATAGAGTGGAGGACTTTACTAAATGCCAAGGATAATTAATATATTTTGAGAATAATTTCTCCGGCACTTTTGGATAGAAAATTTAATTTATTAAAAAAATAAAAAAATTGCAAGATGTATTTGATTTCTTATTTTAACAATTGCTCATTTCATTAAGTAGAATTCCCATCATTGCGATTGGTTTTATAATTTATGAAAATTTTTTTCTATTTTTGCTAATTTAATTATTATCTTAATTCTTTCTTATTTACTTCTCTCTGCAATTAAATTAATTTGATAATATTTAAATTGTTGACTTTTTAAGGATTTATTTTTTTTTTATAATGATTTCCTATAAAAATGTTTCCTTTTACTTGCTATTTTTTATTTAAATATTATATTCTAAGTTAGTAATTATTATTTATGGTAAATTTATTTAAATGATGAAAGAATTACTGATAACGTAATTTATTTACAGATTCTAAATGATCTATTGGTATTTACTAAAACTTCTTTATATTTATCATAATTTTGATATTTATCAACAATATTTTTATAAAAAAAACAATAATTTACATTTTATTTTACCTATTGATCTTTAAACTAAAACAGATGCTGAAACATATATATCAATTCGAAATGGAATATAATTAAAGACACCATGAAACTAATAATAAACCAATAATTTATCAATCAGAAAATCTAGCTTCTTCTTTATATTATGAGTTTAAATCAAAGACATTAATTTTAATTTATTTTCTTTCTTCCTTATCGCTCTCTTAAATTTATCTATTCTTTAATTTCATTCATAATTTATTATTCTAATAATGAAACTATTTTGCTTATTTTCACATTTTTTGTGAACTTTTGAATTAATGTACAGAATCTAAAATCTCTAAGATTATTTCTTTTTTAAACCTTATTCAAGTTGATAAAGCTTGATTCTAAGTTTTTGCAATATTTGTTATTTATATAGAAAACATAGTTCTATTAAAGTTATTATTAGTTAGAAAAGGGTTTATTACTTTTATTATATATTAATAGCCTTTAAATAAACTCAAAAAATATATCATAATAATACGCAATATTTATTGATTTAAATAAATAAATTTGCAGATCAATTAGAAACTTTCTAATTTTTCTAAAAATTTTATCTTATCTATTTGGGTTTCCGTTTCTTTATTGAAATTTTGTTATAAATTGATTCGTGCTTTGTTTTTGCTATATTATTTCATAAAAGCTCAATTAACCTCATAAATTGCTCATCAAAAGCTTTTTATAGAAAAAGTTTCAGGTATATAGCTTGATTTAGTTTTATTGTTTCAATATTTTATTTATGAAAAGTCTTTTTAGTTTTACTTTTTCAAAAAATTTAAAGAAAAGCATGGTCAATGAATGGTAAAATGTTATGAAGTTAAGAAATAAATTAATTATTCTCAGCGTAAAGCAAGTTACAAATCCTAAATGTCAAATATTCATAAAAATTTGTATAGATGCTATTTAATTATGTAAAATCTTCAACCTTACATCATCAATCTTTCTTTCATTACTTACAATAGATAATTTATAAATAGCTTTTTGAAAGGACCAATAAAAAGCATCTTATAAATTTCCTATCAAATATATAAATTCTTTACTTGCGCTTTAACAATTTGGAATCCTTATTAAAATTCATTTTAGAAATCTACGAGCTCTAAATCTAATTTGCTGCTTGAATATTACATTTTTCTTCTGTTAATTGTATATATTTCATGAAGAACTTAATGCAAGAAATTTTAATATATTTTGAATGACGCCTGCATTCTTACAAAATTTATTGTATAGATTTGTTCAACTTATTAATTAAGATTATATTATAATATATGTGTCCAAAATTTCTTAAGAACAATTACTTCATATTTGCATTCTTAAAGTAGATGCAATGTTATTAGATTATATTTGAATTGTTGAAATGACTCAATACCTTACTCAATCTTATCCCTCTTTACTCATAATAATCCGTCAATATGATAATGCTTTAATTAAATGCTTAATTCTTCTGCTTCTTTCCACCATTAAGTTTTAAATAATAGTGGATGAAGATTGATATTAATGTTTTGTTATCGTTACATTCAAGGAATTCAATCCCTGTTTGACTAAAATTATTTATTATTTCTGATTTTGATGTTACATGTTTTTCTTTGTATTGTAGTGAAAACAATTGTATTTTTTAATTTAAACGAATAGGGCAATTAGCCAGATTGATAATAAAGAAATATTGAGATAATATGTAAAAACAGTATAGGATGGATTTGATTAATATCTTGAATTAAATAAATGAATTACTCCTATCAATATAATAAATTAAAATTTAATAAGTTACTATCCCAGTCTATTTTATTCCAACAATCTTTAAATTAACTTTAATAGAATAGAATTTATCAAAAGTCCATTCTAATATCCTCTAATATTTCCAAATAAAAAAATATCTTAGAGGATTATTTTAATCAGTAGTATTGAGTAAGTTTTTAGGAGTTAGATCAAGAAGCCATATCTTGAGTATAATTTTTCTGAAATCAAAGATACTAAAAGATAACTGAGATCGTTGGAGTTTAATCTATTACATAACTATTTTATGTATCTTTAAAGTAAAATCCTCTCTCTTCGCATTCTACACTTAATTTTTACTATTTCTCTCTTTCCTTCTTTTGCCCTCAACTTATTAACAAGTTACAGATTATTTTGCGCATAAGTTTGTTCTTCTGCCTTTTCTTAATTTTGTCTTCTTTTATTTTACTCAATCTAAGGTCCATTATTTTTGCTAGATCTTAATTATTTTTATCGTAAGAATAGTATTTTTAGACATATTAATTAGCTAATTAAGAGAATTTTCACTATAATATTCCCTTAGACCCCTTAAATCATTACATTACTATCCTACAGAAAATTCTATAAATCTTTATTTTCTTTGTTTATCATTTTATTTATATATCAATTTTCATCCTAAATTGACTTCTCAAATTACTTTAAGTAATTTGATTCGTTATCTCAAGGATTATGACTTTGAACTTATTTCTATTTGTTCTATTTCTCTTTATTATAGCCTTTTCGTTTATCTGCCATCAAGTTTGTTTACTCAACTTGTAACCATTTTTTTTTATATAATCAAAAAATAAGATCAAATGTGTATGGATGTGTGACTTCTTTGACTTTTCTTATATTAATTAAACTTCAATTTATAGTTTAATTACTCTAATTAGACCTTTAACTATATATTGTTTTTCTTCATAAATTTTTGCCATCTAATAAAGAGATTGTCAATAAGAAGAAATCTTTTCTTTAATGATAAACCGATAAAGAGGGTTTTTTTATAGTGTGGATCCTTGTATTACAGGAAAAAGTTCATAAATGATGAATTACAAGTTAAAAGATGTATTTATTAAATGTAAAAAAAAGGAAAAACTTTAAAATTAAATACTTTTTATTAATCAGAGTTTTTCTCAAGAGCTAGAAGTATATAATTGTACTCTTTGAAAAGATCTCACTCTAATTAAGTTAAAAAACATTAATTATAATTGTTAGATAATAATATTATAAAATGATTAATAATTAAAAATATATTTGGTAGAGTCACCAAGCTCTTCAAAAGGGTCACAAATAATTAAGATCTCTAGTTAATTATTTAATCATCTACTTATAAATTAATAATTATTTAGTTACCTGCCGTTGATCGTACCAGGTTATTGAAAAAATTTATTGAGATGATTCAAATAAATGATCACAGGTCATGAAGAATAAATATATACTAGTGATTTTTAATAGATCACTACCATGAGATTAAATTAATTAAAAATTTTAGATCCCTAGATGAATTAAATATCACCTAGGGATCTTATAAGCAATTACTAGTACAAAGTGCTAAGAGGCCATAAAGGCTTATCTGAATTCTCTAAGATTTAGGTATACTTCTATGGCCTCATGGCCACCTTTAATTTTTTTATTTTATTTTATAAATACTAAGGCACCTTATTTTAATATAAGGTACCTTATAGATGGTATTATTTACCATCTTAGGCTATAATTAATAAAATGGTACTTGATAGTAGAGTTAATATTTTACCAAATAGATTAGTTATCTCCAAGGTATTATGGTACTTAATTATCAGGTACATATCCCTAGATGATAATTAAGAATTATCTAGGTAATAATTTAAATATAATTAATCAAGTGGAGAAACAATTAAAATCAATAAGATTATATTACATGATATTAAATGTCTGAATTATTATTGTAGTAAAATTAATACTCTTCAATCTTATGAAAATTGGATGTTTTATTGTGTAGCGAATAGTATCTATAATGATTTTTGGAATAGATTTATTATATTTATAGATAATGATAAATGTCAAAAGTAATAGGTTTGTGATAGTTGAAGAAATGGAATAATAATTAAACCAAAAAGTTTGAAAGGAACCATTGCACATATTAATTATTCTTTACATTTAAGTTAATAGTTCAGATTGTGTTCATTCCTTCTCTTATTAAAAATGACATTATCAAGACTTAGTACTTTTAATCGTTTAATTACTCAAATTTATTAGATTAAAATACTGATAATTCAAAAGGGAAAAATAAGTTTGATCATAAAGAATATTCCTCCTTTACTTTTTTCTAATAAATTTGCCTAAATATTTATCTTACATAATTGCAATAAGTATTAAGATTGCTGTTTTTGAAAATTAAAAGATAATTAAAATAGATTGATGTGATATTAAAATATTGAGTACTATGATTAAAATCAGAATCTTCATAAGGAAATGTTTATTTAATAAATATATTATTATTTTTAAAATTTAACAATGATTTCATCAGTACCAATAAATTTGGTTGAAACAAAAAAGAAAGACTTAAACGCCAATAATATATACAGAAAAAATAAATAAAATTAGAGATTTTAGAAAACAATCAAATAAGAAAAGATGAAATGGTAAATTTATTAATGCTTGACATTTTTCTTAGATATAAGAGGAGGGAGATGCTCTGCTATAAAACATCCTTAGGAGAAAGTAACAAAATTAAATAATCACTTACAATTAATTTTGCTGCAAAGATCAAAGATCAAACCAACATAAAATGTGGAAAATCTTCTACTTTTTCTGATAAATAAATTAAGATGAAATACTTTTATCATTATACTGGTTTTAGAATCAAAAAGAATATTTTTACATTCTTATGTAACAATGATTAATTGATCCTAATATTAATTGATTTAGGTATATATATATGTGAGATAGAATAAAAAATCAGTGTAGAATCTCATTGAAGAACTAATTTTGAGAAGAAAAAGAATTAGGGATTACTATTTTGTGTGGATTAACGAGTTCAATTTCTGAGTTATCTCCAAATCCTGAATTGATTGATGCTTTGATTGAAGCAGTCAAATAGCTTGGGTATTATGTTTAAAAAATTGATAATGGCTTTGAATGATTTAATTTATATAAAAAAGTCATCTAAAGATTGGATGATACATTTTTGTTGAGTTAAATTTATATCTAATTTTATGTCTTATAGACCTATTGTACATAAATTTTCAATTACTCAAACTTAATATTGATCATTCAATTGAATATAAAAGAAATTCTAAAATAATTACAAGGCAAGTCTTTAATGTAAACAAAGATTCAAATCATTCAAAAACAGTAAAATTAGTAGATTAAATGCAAATCAATTTAATTTATCTTAAACTCACTACTCAGGTTCAATAGAATTATTAAAGCTAAAATTGAATTCTATATCTGATATTAAGCAAAAAAATACTTTAAATAACAAAATTATACTAATTAAACAACCAATAACATTTAATTAGAACTGTATCAAAAATTATATATTGTGGATCAAGTACTTAATTCAGAAATTTATCAATTGAATCATGTAATTTCAACTGCTCAACAATCATAAAGCTAAATGGAAAAATAAAAAAAAATTAATGTTAGGGAGTTAAGATGGCACATTTAGATTTTAATAATACTAAGGTGATGGAAATGCAAAGAACTTTTTGTTTCCAAATGATTAATAAGTTATTTCTGCTTCATACTCTAAGAATCAAATATTCTAGCACACTTGATGACATAATCCATTTAATTTTTATAATGAAATGCCTTTCTGTAAAATTATGTTTATTCAAATGTTATACTATCTGCTGATGAATACAAATATATAGTTGCAAAAAATAATGAGCCAGTCATCAATATTTGGAAAACAGAAGAAATGAAAAAAAAAATTATGACAAACAGAAAGCGCTGGATTTGGAACTTATAAAAGTTCTAAATATATTTCTATTAATACTGCTTATGGTATCCTTATAAAATAATTAGGCACTGATTAAAAATATTAAAATTGGAATAATAAAGCAGTTATTCAGCTTTATATATGGATGATTTACTGACAATTTGCTTAGATAATAAACTCGGCCTTCATGATATGTCAAATTCGCAATTAGCATTTTCTGCAGATAAGTATGAATTTTGTTACTAGATAAATGGATAATTCTATTAAATTATGGGATACTAAAACAAATTTATTTCAATATTTCAAACTAATACTCTATCGAGCTTTGTTAAATTCAAATTTATTAGCCTAAATAAATTAGTAATACATACAACTTTTATAATTGGAAAGAGCAATAACCAATAGAAAAGACAGGTCATACAGATTTAATTGCATAATTGTTAATTTCATCTGATGGATTAAAATTAGTTTCTCTACCATAATCCTAAATTATAAGAAGGGACTTGTAGTATTAGAAATTGGTGTTTTAATGAATTAATAGGAAAAATATATAAGATAAAGTATTCTTATGACTCTCATTATTGATTTATTATTGATAGCGTTGGATAAGTTGTAGTGTTGTAGTATGGAGTTTCAATATAAAACATTTGGTTGAAAGAACCTCTCTAACCTTAAATGTAACAATTTTAAATTTGATGCCTAATCTACTTATATAATATCATAATATCTACGCTTTGATCATCCAAAAAATAACTTTTTATTTTATCTACACTTAAAACATTAATTGTATTAATAAAGTTTTTTATATTTATAATCGTAATCATATTCAAATCTGCATATGGGTCTTTTATCTGAAATGGGCCAATTAGAAGTTAGAAATTTCAATATTAATTCTGATGTAGGAGTGATAACAAAATCTAAAGATTCCTTTAAAGTGGCTCTTAGGATTAAAAATTTTCTATAATTTTATGGTTAATGTAAACAAAATATTAGCAAGCTATTTTTAAAGATTTATTGGTAAGGATTTTAAAAGAAAAAATAATTGAATAACCTCCTGAAACTCAATTCTCATGATTTTCTGAAAATATTTTAATGCTCTAATTAGTGTCTTGACTAATGATGTTACATAATGATTAATTCTTGCAATCAATTAGATGGATTAATGTTAAATTTTTAGATAAATAAACTAAAAGGGGAAGCAAAAATAAATTATTTTTCAGAAATATTCATTTTATTGTCTATTTGTTTGAATATAGTCATCTTAAAGATGATATTTATTAGTTAATTGGTTTTAATTATTAGCAGTATTTCTCATAACTGAGAAAAAGTATTACTATAATATATATTTCATTCTAATAAACCGAATTAAATTAATGTTTCATTAATAACTTAAAGCCTTTTGCTTTAAATTGCTGTATTACATTTGTATTAATCTCAGGATCAATTCCATCCAAGCTCCATCTCTACTCATCATTTTCTCCAACTCCACATCATGAACGTTTTATTTACTATCTACAACTAAATTCAGGTCCTTCTATACTTTATAATATGGTACAGCTCTCATTAAATTTTTAATAACCATCCAGAAATGGTAATAATAAAATAATACATTTGATTTTGATTGAAAATTTGTATTTAAAGACTTTTAAACTAAATTTTTTGAAACTATAAAAAATTTTATATTTAAACTAATTTATTGTAAAATTATTTTATTGAGGCATAGAAAATATTAATATTAATCATCTACACATTCACTCATTTATATCTATTTTTTTAAATGCTGGTTATTCTTAATTACTCACAAGTTTAACTTATTCATTACATCATGTAAGAAGACTTTGAAATTTAATTATCATTTAGCAAAAAAGAAAGCTTGTTAGAAATTCAATTAAAAATAAATAAAATTTATACAATTTAATTATATATCAATTATTTTTATATTATTAATGCGATTTAATAAAATTTTATATTTCAGAGTATTAAGATTGCAATTTTATTTTGAAATATATTAATTTTATTAAAATAAACGAAAGAATGATTCAAATGTTAATAATTAAATAAAAACTTAGAAAAAGGGTATTTATATTAATAGAATTCAATAAATTTATTTTAGAAATACAAAATTATCATTTATATTAATTTTCTCAGAATGAATACTTTAGCTTAGCTTAGTTGATTGAAACAAAGAAACAATAATTATAATTTTTAGAAATTCAATTTTATTAAAATATATAAAATATCGTTGTTAATTATCTTTTTAAAAGTCTTAAATCTTACATTCTAATTCAAACATATTGTACTTAGAATAGGAAAGGATCCAAATAGTCAATTAACAATCATTTAAGCTAAATTTTGTATAAATAAGTTTAATTAACTTTGTGAAGATCTTATTTGTTAAATAAACAAATCTAAAGATAATTTATATATTGACGATAGTCAATTGCGTTATTGAAGTAATTTAAGATTAAAATTATTAATTATTATATTTCATTGCAAGTTTTCTAAATAATTTATAGGATATTAGCACTTCACAAAATAACTCTTAAACCTTCTTAGAAAAAAATTCCTATTTTCTGAATAGTAAGAAACGAAATTTTTTATCATTTTGTTTAATAATTTTTAAGGATATTAATAAAATATTAATAAAGTAATTACAAATTGCAAATATATTGATACTTATAGTATGCGTTAATAATATCTAATACCAATAATAACATAGTAAAATAGTGGCAATAGTATCTAAGCTTTGTAATCTAACCTATTTGATGTTTTAAAACTTAATTCTAGCTTAGAATTAAGTTAAAAATAATTGATGAAAAGATTATTTCGTATCTATAACTTAAATAATCAATAAACATTAATAAATCAACAAAATTAATTTATTTTATCTAATTAATACCTGATTGCTAAAGTATTTAAAAAAAGGCTTATTCAAGATTTGTTTAAGTCATGCCATATTAAATATTTTTACAATTAAAATTTATTAGAATATTAGAATAGAAAAATAACTTTAATAAATAATCTTTCTATATGTTGGTATTTCTTATGTTAGGATCTTTTTAATGGATGACTTTTTCACTCTTAAATTTTTTTAAATTATGAATGTTTTTTGATCTACATATAAGTAAACATCCTTGAAACTTCATTCTGCTTCTTTTTTTTAAATATTGTCCATAAAATAATAATTGAATTTTAATCAATGTAAATTTGAATTTACTGACAATTAATTTACTAACCAGCTAATATACAATAATATATATAGTAGTTAATGTAAAGATGTAATCTCTATTAGTATTTTGCAACAAATTTTTTCATTTTTTTCGTTTAGTAGCAATCAATTATAATAATTATAATTGAAAAGTAAGATTTAAGATTTGCTTACTTTCAAAAAGCATTCTATAATAATTCATGGAATTTGTAAAGTCATCATTGATACATATTCAATAACATAAATAATATCAAAAAGCAGCTTTTTTTGGTTTTTTTTTTTAATTATTTCTTTTCTTGTTTCTTCCATCTCATTTCATTTATTTAATCAAGTAACATCTCTATATCTATCTACTTCATTATGATTTGATTATTTTTATTTATCTATTTTTTTCTATTGTTTTTCTACTTCTCTTTGAAATCTTTTATTCATTAACCTTTAAACTTTAACAACCAATATAAAATAATTGTAAAAATATTTACTTAATCAGATTCTTATAATAATATCATTTTCATTTAATTAAGATTATTTAATTTCAACAGCAACTTAACTTTTTTAAAAATATTATACCTTTAACAATTTATTCATATATCACCTTAAAATTGTAATTATTTATAAATTTAATTACTAAAAATTTTAAACAATATCGAATTAATATCATAAAGTATCCTTTAGCCGAAAAGGTTAAAGGAATTTTCTTAGATTTGAAAGCAATATATTATTTTTTAAAATATTTAATTGGTCAACTCAGCTATTCAAAGAAGTTTTCAAAGATTTTACACTATCTTTAAAGTTTATATTATCCCTTAAAGATCACATAATAGCTAAGGAATTGAAAGTTCTTCATCAAATCTTTAAATTGAAATTTATTTGTTTATAAATCTATTATTTTTTAATATTTATTCAAGTGTAAAGTTTTATATCATATCTAATATATGGTTTATTTTTTCAACTTGCTATAAAGCTATAAACATAAACGCAAAGTTTAATTAAATTTTCCAAAAATTGCATAATATTCAATAGGCTTTTCTTGAACAAATTATATTAATCGATGTTTTTTATGCAATCATCTTTATATTATTTATGACAAAATTATATTGAATTAGGTGAACTCAACAATACCTAATTTGATAGTAAATAAAATAGATCTTTTTTAGAATGAGAGAGACCATTTATTTGAAATATTTAGTATTAAAAACACATTTAGATGGCAATTATATAGTTAATCTAAAGTAAAATTAACATTGGGTAATCAGATTAGAGTAATTCAATACCAAATACACTTCCTTCATATAGGTATATGAAGGAAGTGTACACAATAATTTCTTATATTTGGTTTTTGACTAAATTTTCTTTCTCTTTAATATTTTTTGGAATAGGTTAAGGTATAAATTTGTTCAAATTATATTTTTATTAATTCTGAATATATAAAATATTGTTAATGCATGGTCTTTCTAATCATAACCCATTATTAGATTCAAAAATAAAATCTAGTAATGTCAGAGATTTTGTACCAACAATAATTAAAAAATTATGAGAAAACACATCTTAAACTTATTGAATATAAATTGTAATTATAAAATTTAAGGGCAATATAATTCTCAAAATGAAAAAAAATCTTTCTTTTTTTTCTCTTCTGCAATGGCCCATCCTTATTAAGCATAAAGAAATCCATCTTAATCTTTAGCTACACCAAAAAATCCAGCATTAAATTTAAGATTCATTGTTACATGAGTTCTTATATTTTAAAGTATTACTTGGGCTTATGATATTCCAGTCGGTATTTATTTTTCTTAAAATTAGGAATTTTTTTTTAAAGACTTCGAAAAATAATTTTTGACAAACTTGTTCTCTTGATCATATATATCAGCACTTTCATTTATTCTATATGGGAAGAAATTAGTAATCCAACCTGTTGCATATTGAGGTGTTGGATCATACTGTGGTGATTACGGTGGTTAATATCTATAAATATCTTTCCAAAATGCATAATCAATTTTTCCTTTATATAAATTGATGAATTAATCTAAAATTGGTAATATCCTATCTAACCAATCACCTAATTCAAATTCTTACAATTTCTCAGCATTTTTTCTTAAGCATTCCCAATCCTCTAATGTCCCTAATAATTTAATTTTTGATATTCCACATCCACAATCCATCGTATATTCAAAATATTTTTTCATGGCATCCATTAAACTTACCTCATAACAAGTTTTAGAAATTTAATTTGTTGTAGAATACTTCTGTACACATAGTTTATATTTCTCATTTGGAATATTTGCTTTAATTTGATTTGAAAAATTATTAATTATACTTTCCCAATCATAAGTATTAATATCTTCTGATTCCACAAATACACTAAGTTTCATTTTTCCTTCATGCTACACAAACTTTTTTCTGAAATATTCAGCATTATTTTTTATATGAGCACAGAATCCTTAATTTATTAATAGTTATATGTCATCTGGACTAAATCTTAATGGAAAATGATTATAATAAGCATAATGAACCATTAAAATAAATTAATTTGTTATCTAAGTTTGATTCCTACACCAGTACAAAATATCGTTGTTAGTAAGACTTGATTTTATTATTTTACCTGATAATAAACTTCCTAGAAATGTTTGAAGTTGTGTAGGATGTAAATCGTTGTAATTATATTTTAAATTAGGATCAATAATAGCAAGACAATCATTTTATTATTTCTTACTATAGTTTTATTCGATCTCTTATTATTCTTATTGTTCAATCATAATATTTCTATTTAACTTTAATTTAATTGCTCATAAGTATTCTTTAAACTGCTTAAATAACAAAAATTTTATAATTAATAGAATTAACTTAATAGAAATATATTTAAATTTATTTTAATTTTTAGTTTATTTGGCATCTAAATCATCAAAATTTTATTGGGGATTTTATTATTATTATTGCTAATAACATTATCAGTCTTTAAGTAATGAGATTGAAACAAATCCAAAACTGAATAAATTCTACTTAAATTCCTTTACTATTTTTTTATATTTATAGTATTATTTCAAAACTTTAAAAAAAATAGAGATAAAAAAAAATTGTTTAATGTTTATAAGATAATTAAATATTCAGTTGTTGTTATTGAATTGATTATGTTTATATCTAATTATTTTAATAAATATAAATTCAGTAATTTTATTATTCACTAATTTCATTTTCAACATCATGTCTTTTCCATTTATTTATTCTATTTATTCGAATATCATCCTTTGTCATTTCTTCATCCTCTGTTTATTCTTAAGCCTTCATCTTTAAAGTAGGAATATATCTTCCATTTTTTTAAACTACTGAATCTAGTTATATTCTCACTATTATAATTTATATATATACATATATGAATTCTAACTTAAACATTATTCACAAGCAATCATATTTTGTATTTTTGGAGCACAGCCATGATGATAAAGTTGACTACATCCCATAAAAGCCAATATCTATTAATTTTTAATTTCAAAGCAAGTTTAACATTATGGACTGAAATTAACACCAATCTACTGTAACTCATAAAAACTCATTAAATTTTTCATATAATCCATTTATAATACTTTTATTAATTACTGTTAATTATAGAGTTCAAAAGAACAAGAAGACAATAATTTACTAAATGATCTTCTCAACTCCTCTAAATGAGTAAAAGAACCAAATAATATTTTTATATTTATAATTATTTAGTAAAGATGAACTCTTTCTAACAATTCTTCCAGCATCACTTAATATACATTATTCAAAGATTTAAAAATATTCTTCTTATATTTAAATTCCAATCTTAATTAAACCATTCGAATAACAAGTGTAAACCAATAATTAGTACTATCTTCTTCATTTGAATGATTATCTCTACATATTTTTAAACATGGTAATATTAATATTTATATCTATTCTATTTAACTTTATTGATCATATTCAATTACTTGCATCTTCTTTAATTCAGTACTTATAATCTTATTAATATTAAAAATAATAAAATTACATCAAAATACAAATTCAAAGCTTCCATATAACGTCCACTTCTTTCCTTTAGAAATGCTACTCCTTTCATTATTTTGTATTCCTAACATAATTTTAAACATTCATCTTAAGGGAAATCTCCATATTATAATTATTCATATGCATCTTTTTGATGATATTAACATATTAATTTAAAAAAGGAAATCATTAGTTTATCTTCAACTAATTACTTATTATTTCTCTTCTCTTAAATTATCTCTGAAAGTAATTTCAATTTTAAATCTGGATGAGTATCTAACATTTCTATGGCTATCTTATAATCCTCTTCATTATAATATTAAAGTATCTATCGTAATTTCTCTGCACAAATACTTACCTATAAACATAATCATCATTTACTCTTACCAATTATGGAACTATGCTCAATACATATTTTAAAATTTCATTTCTAACTTAAGTATATTAACCTAGATTTATCATTTACTCAATATAATCAAATATGAATATCTATATAAATTATATACACTTACTTTATCATCTTCATAATATGAAGTTAACAAACTTTATAAACAAAATTGCCATTAATCTTTTATAAAATATAACTAGGATTTTACTCTAACTGATTAAACTTCAGAACAAGATGATTCCTGTATTAAAATAGAAATTATTTCTTGATCATTTATTAATCTCTATTTAAACTAATTGATATAGTCAATAAAAACAGAATCTCTGATATTTCTATTAATATCTTATTTCTATAAGTAATCAAGGTTTTAAAATCTTAGATTACTTTTTTCCACTAATGTTTATAAAGTTAGATAAGGATCCTTAAAGTGGAATTTAAGAACATTTAAAAAGTGTTCATATTTAATCTTATATCCTAATTTCATTATTTCATAAACAAATGTGCTTAATTAATTTTCAATATTTAATTTCTTTGATGATGCTTCTAATAATAATACAATAATTTCAGATAATGTTAGATCATCCACTTATAATTATTCTCCTGCAATAGTAGTTTTAAGTAATTAAAGTTATTCATATTTATCCTTCTCTGTGAATATGATTAATAGTTCATTTAAAAAAATAGGAGCATCAATTTTAAGAAATTCTTCTAAAGTATCATATTGTAGTAACCATGATAGAATTTCAGATAAAATAGAAGCCCATTGTTCCTCTGGAATTTTTTATTAAGGAAATAATTCTCCAATCAATAACATATGAAGATTCCATAAACATTTATAACCCAACAATTAGATTTCTTTATCTATCATTTATTTATTATTAGTCATTTCCATTTAAATTGATTTAAAATATCTCTCTAAAGATAATTAATCTCCTTTAATCAATTATCTATATACTGCATACATTTTGAATAGAGGAGTTTTATAATCTTCATCAACTCTTGGAGAAATATAAATTAAAAGTGTAAATAAATTATTTTCTATACATAACTATTAAACTATGATTGGATCCAATAATTTTATATCTAAATTAATAATTAGCTATTTCAAAATATTTAATTTGCTCTTTTAATTTCTTAAATATATCATAATATCTTTTAAAGCATCATCAGGAATAAATTTAATTGTATTCTTTAATATAAATGGTTCTAAACAATTATAAAATTGGATTTCTAAATTATTTTTTTGAAGAATAGATTTAATTTCTCTAAATAAATATTTGTATGATCCAATCGTAACCATAAATTCAATGATGGTTGGAATAAGATCACCAATAGTTTTATGAGAGATACTAACCTCAACAAATTGTTTAAGTCTTTCATTAAAATAAGGTCTTAAGTATTCTTATCTACCATTTTTTGGTAAACCAGCAAATTTTAATTATTTTCCCAAATACAAATATAAACATAAACCCATACATTCTGTCCACATAAGATTTGATATTAATTATTCAATATAATCTTACCATGTTATCAATTAATAATGAATAATATTTTATTATTAATGTCCATTTTCTTCAATTTAAATATAATATAATTGATTATGATTTTAACAAATTGTATTTTAAAATGATTAAATTTTATCATCACCTATTTATTAATCAGCAACATCATGTTATAATTATGATTACACAACTAAAACATTATTATCAGCAATCTCTGAAATTGTTATCAATAATGAATATTTTTTACGATCATTTTTTAAGAATAATATATTATCACTCATCCAAACTAAAAATTAAATATCATCATTTAAAATGTATGTATAAACTAATTCAAAATTAGTAATAAATTTTCCTTCTTTATTTTCATAATTCATTTTTAATATTTCAATTTCCTTACCATTACTAACAGCTAATACAGGTTATTCACTTTCAATTTACCACTTTGCACATATAAGTTAACGTTTTTTAACTTCATAAGATTTTTTAAAAACTAAAAATATTTTTGGATCAACAATGGCAATTAAAACAGTAGTTTTATATACAAATACAACAACTTATACATCTTTATTTCTCATAGATTCACAATGACAAACTCCAAAAATAGTATCATTTAAAAGTGGATTTTTTTCTATTCCATATGCAAATAAATTTTTTCTTATTTTCATTAAATTAACTTTACCAAGTGAATCACAAATTAAGAATTAACATACAAAATCTTTATTTCCAATTAACATGTTAATAGTAATTGGTATACCTTCAGTCATTTTTTAAAAAGCTTTACAAAATTTATTCTTATTGTATAATAAAATTTACTATTAAGAGACAGCAATTAAAAATTATCCATCCTCATTGAATCTTAAACATATAATAGGACAAATAGTAATACTTGGATCTAATTCTAATTTTACTATTTTATCACTAATCAAATAAATAAAACCTTTTGTTGTTCCAATTGCAAATGTTGTACCAAAACATGTAATACATTTAATTCTAAAGTCATTTTAAAATATTGAAGAATAAAGATCTTTTAGTTTACGATCCATTTTCACTTCTTAAAAAGTATTATTAGCTTACTTTTAAGTCTCATAATGTTACATTAAATCAGAATCCTCAATACCCTTTTAAGTAACTTAATAAGGTTCTTTTTCTAATTAATCCACGTAATCTAAGATATATGGAATATGTTTAATTTGCTCAGTTTACTTAATACTTTCTCTATTACTAGTTGGATATTCCCTAATGTGAATTAATGTAATAGTTTATCAATCTCTTCATTGGTATACTAATTTTCAATCTATATTTCTTGTTAAATTGAAATTTTAGGTTCTATCTATTATTCCTTTACAAAACTTGGTTGTCCTTTTAATAATTCCTCAATATCATTGAATTATTCATATTCATTAAATTTCTAGGGTTATTATTCATTGATTATGTCTTCTAGAATTAAATGTTTATCAGCAATAATTTCATCTTTATACATGTAATAATTTATTATAAAAAAATGCATAACAAAACTAAATAAACCTATTGTATATATTTCAATTAATATTAACAAAAATAAAAAGAAAAATGATCAAACTCATATTATCAGGAATAACAATTAGCAATGCCTTTAAAATATCTAACAATTTCAGTTGGACAGATGTTAATGGTAAGAATTTCATGACATACATTCATTTGCAGTGACGTTAGCATTAAGTGATAAAATTAAAATAAAAAAAATAATTACTAATCCTAAGAAATAATATTATTTTAAATTAAAATATTGAAATACAAAGAGTAGCTATGAAAAATAGATCTTATTATTTAGATATACTTTAATATTTATCATTGGATTAATTAATCACCAATTAAGAAATTAAAC